TCGGCTCAGGTCATGATCTCATGGTTGGTGGGTTCGAGCCCCGCATTGAGCTCTGTGCTGACAGCTTGGAGCCTGGAGCTTGCTTTGGATTCTGTGTCTCCCTCTCTCTCTGCCTCTCCTCTCCTTGCTCTCTGTCTCTCTCTCACTCTACCTCTCTCTCAAAAATAAATAAACATTAAAAAAAATTTTTTTTAAACTGCTAACCACCAAATAGGCTTTTGATGAGTTGTAACCACGGATCCCAGGTCACCGTAACAAATGCAATAATAGTGAACACATTTGAAACATCGTGAGAATTACCAAAATGCAATAGAGACATGAAGTGAGCAAACACTGCTGGAAAACTGTCACCGACAGACTCCCGGGATGCAGGGGTGCCACAAACCCAGAATGTATATAACTGGCAATGTCTGCCACACGCAGGAAGATGAGGCGTGCCCGTGATGGAGCCACCTGTCCGGGCTTGCCTTTGGATCCTGGTTATAGAATCAACATGAAAGTGAATGTCTATCGGGGCCCAGCTAATTGTCAACAGAAACATTCCCTGGAGAGCCATCTTCACGGTTACTGCTTCTAGAAGGTTCTTAGAACAGGAAGTAAACCTCCAGCTGGAAATGCCTGAAAGGGCGTCTCAGAAAACTGCCAGCAAAGGCTCCTGTGACCCCAGCCATGGGCGACACTCTTCCCACCTCTGTGCACGAGCTGCACCCAGCATCAGCCAGCGCACGGCCCTCCCTGTACCCCCTGTGCGCGCTGACCCTGCATCCCAGCCACCCGGGATGGGACACAGCTCATTACCCGGCTGCTTGCACCGATAAGCCAAGCCCTCCACACGCGGTCAGCACAGAAAGTTATTCTCAACTTAAAGGCAAGCACAGTTGATGTTTAGAATTTCTACGTGTTTGTTTTTGTACATTTTTAAGAATGTGCAACCCCTACTTAACCAAGCAGGGCTGCCCTGGGGAGTCGTGCATCAAGGTTGGGAGCAACTGGATTGAATACCATCACCAATTTTAGCCTTTCTGACCTCAAGAAGGCAACGTTGTAGAAGTAAAGACCCCAAGGCTTTGACATCGCCAGTGATGCTCTTTGGCGCCCAGCTTGGCCTCTTACCCCTTCCTGCCTCCAGTCAGCCCTTTGGCACAGTGGCCCACCCCCTCCCGAGGGACAGTGGCCGGCTCGGTGGGCAGAGACGCAGGGGCACCGCACCTGCGAATGGGAGATGCTGGCTTCTAGAACACTGTGGATGGTCTCGTTTGAGACATGGATGGAAGATTGGAGCTCCCTGGTGAGCTTGGAGACGTTCTGCATCACATCTTTGACTCTGACATCTGAAAAATAATCAAAGGAAAGGGAATTCTGTAATGATAAATGTTTGGGCTGTTGCTAACTGTGAAAACGAGAATCGATAACTAGACCGCAGCGAGGATTGTCCAGCTCACGATAAACACGAGACAAAGTCACGTCCTCCGGAGCCCGGATCATTCACACTGGAGGCAAGGCAAACCCAAGGCAAACCCAAGGTCCGTCCCCGCTCACGTGACTCCTCTCTCTAAGACTTGTATATTTTAGGGTCTACTCCAGAAAGATGTTTTTCTTAGGGGACAGTGACAGCGCCTGCAGGAAACTCTGTCGACATATTTACTTATCCCGCTTTTTTTAACAAGAGGAGGATCGCATGAGGATTTTTCCAAAACTCACCACATGGGGCATGCTGCTGCTTCGCAGGTGTTATGAATTGTACAGACTAAACAGACAGAAAACAGACTTACAGACACCAAATGGCTTGTCCAGGGAGGCAGGGCCGGGGCGAAACCCAGACCACGGGAGTTTCTCATCCTTCCCGCTCCCGGTTTTGGTCCCTAGGATTTTAGGACTTTGACTTTCCTTCTTGACCCCAAATATGTCAGAGAAGCCAAGCTCTGAATTATTTCCCACATACAGTAACTTCCCCTTTGTAGGTTTTATCTTAGGAACATATTTGTGTGAGAAAACACAATCTTTAAGGATGCGAACTTGGAGGCACCCCGTCTTACCTTCGGTCACTGTGAAATTCCTGAGGAAGGCCATCACGGGATTCCCCGACAACCAAGTCTCCTCGAGGCTTTGGGCCAACCTAAAATGGCACAAAATTAAAGCCAATTTAGACAAAATAAAGTCCCAGAAACAACAGTGAATAACACTGCTCCCGTTCCCAGGAGAGGAGTTGGATCGCATCACATTTCCACAAGCTTCCTCAGATAATCAGACACAGCGCATCCCCTGACGCTCTCTGAGTGTGAATGCCTGACACCATCGTGGCTCCGGGAGCGTCCCCTCGGGGCCCCTGCCAGGCGAGAGGAGTCAGGGGAATAAGGGTGTGCCACGAATGACTCTGCATTGATGGAAACAACAGACAGGATAGATCACGGAATGCGTAGGAAGCTGGGACCCCAAGGAGTCAGGTGAACATCATTCTTTCTGAGTCATTTGCAGGACACAAAGTGTCCAAGCTCCTCCTCCGGGGGCACAGATGTAGAGGATGCAGAACAAGGCTAATCCAATAGGAAAGCAGTTTCAGGAATCAGTGACTGCCCTTACAAAACATATTCACTTATTTATTTACTTAAATTTATTTTTCTTTTTAGAGAGAGAGCATGAGCTGGGGAGAGGGTCAGAGAAAGAGGGAGACAGAGAATCCCAAGCAGGCTCCAGGCTCAGCGCAGAGTCCAACGCAGGGCTCGAACTCATGAACCGTGAGACCATGACCTGAGCCGAGATCAAGAGTTGGATGCTCAACCACTGAACCACCTGGGTGGCCCTTATAAAATGCATTTGATACCATATTATAATCTCTAACGTTTGATCTAGTATCTCGATCATCAATAAAGTTAACCTTTGAGCTAATGCTGCTCTTATATTTCACCACTGAAAACATAACGTTATGGGGGCACCCGACTGGCTCGGTCGGTGGAGTGCACAACTCTCGATCTTGGGGTCAGGAGTTGAAGCCCCACGTTGGGTGTAGACATGACTTAATAAAAAATTAATAATAGGGGCT